GGCCGAGCCGTACTTGGACCTGCGTCAGATCAGCTTCCGACTGAGTCGTGCTCTGGGCCAACCAGTGGTGCCATGCAGCTTCCGGTTCTCGAACCGTGTGGATCCTCAGGAACTCAATGGACTCAAAGCCAAGACGTTCGAGATGGTGCTGACCGAGCATCTGGCTACACGTGGCGAAGGTGCGAGCGACGTTGTCGTGCTCCCACTGTTTTTCGGGAACAGCTCGACGTTGACCGAGTTCTTGCCCAAGACGATGAATCAGGTATGGGACTCCGTCTCGTCAACGTCCGCTGCTCTCTCGGTCCGTATTGGTGGCTGTCTAGTGGACGGCCACGACACTCGTGTGGCTCAGATTTTACTGGAACGTATCCACGAAGCTGTGGACTTTGCGACGTTGCAGGAAGACGTGACGGTGCTTGTCGTGGATCACGGTACTCCGAGTCGTGACGTGCATGAGTCACGCGAGTTTGTAGCGAACGAACTGCGTGAGTTGCTGAAGACCAACCAGCGTGTGAAGCTCGTCGGTACTGCGTGTATGGAGCGTCGTGAAGGTGCCGAATACGACTTTAACGACCCTCTGCTGGCTGTAGCGCTGGATCACTACAACGTGACTAAGGGGATCGTTGTATGTGCCAAAATGTTCTTCTCCAATGGCCGTCACGCGGGCGAGAAAGGAGACATCGAAGAGATCATTAAGGACGTCCGTGCCAGACACACAGACGTGGACGTTCGCGTCACGGAGGCGCTTGGAACGCACGAGCTGTTGGCCGAGATCTTGCAAGATCGCTACCGTGCTGCGTTGTCCAAGGAGACGTCGGACTACACTCTCACACTGAGCAAGTAACGTCCGGAGTACCGGTATGCATTGCCTTTTCTTACGATTTAAGCTTCGGATGGGGCACGGCGTGACACTCGCGTAGCTACTCGCGTCACTTCTGCTTGGATTGTTCTCGGTAATTCTCCATGTTGACTGCGGGAAATGCTGATGGCTTTGACGAGAAGCAGGTTATCGGCTTCTGCACGCACCAGTTGACTCTTGAGTCTGGTTTTATCTGC